GAGGAGGTGTGAGAGGTTGACATTGGAGGGCCTACGGAGAGGTAGAGGTAGGCCAAAGAAGAAATGAGGAGAGGTGATTAGGCAAAACATGGCGCAACTTCAGCTGACCGAGGACATGACCCTTTATAGGAAGGTATGGAGGTCAAGGATTAGGGTAGTAGAGTAGGTAGTCTAGAGTGTTCATAACAGTAGTATTGGCACGCAATCTCGCTTTCTGTTGGTAGTAGGTTTTTATGACTAACCGTTGTTTTCTTTCATTGTTGATCACCTTACTATCTTGTTGTTTTTATTCTACTTTTATATGGCTTTTTGGTACTGTCCCTTCTAGTCTATATTTTCATTAATGTGGTGCTTATGCTTTCCTAAGCCGAGGGTCTATTGGAAACAGCCTCTCTATCCTCACAAGGTAGGGGTAAGGTATGTGTATACACTACCCTCCCCAGACCCCACGGTGTGGGATAATACTGGGTATGTTGTTCTTTCGCTTAACTTATTTCATGTGACGGATACAAAATCCACCTGCAGGGTTTACACATGAAAACTTATAAGTTTTCATAAAGGTGTATCATCAATCTCTAGACCGAAACATGAATTTCATCAACTAACTATTACTTCACCAATGTATATCATCATTATCCAATTTACCAGGCATATTGTCCCACAAAAGAATCTCGCCTTCTGATAAATCAAAATAATAAATAATATACATGACTAATAATAATTATATCAAGATTAAGAGTATAAGTACGTTTAGTGGCTAGATAAGTTATTTTATTAAGTCAGTACAAAATACTTATCTCTACTTGGTCCGTTCAATACATACAAAATGTACTACCACAAGAAGTCGGAATTAAACTATTCTCATAATCAAGATAAATTATATTTAATCTTGTGCTACTATCATTCCTGATGGTTTGTCCAATTCCATCATTAAATTGTGAACATGATCTTTATACTTATAAGAACCGATGATTTAATCTTCCGTGTATATGCTAAACTCTATACACTAAATCATCTACTATATAAGTAAGGACGCAAACGAATATATGATCTATTTAAAATTTTATTAAAATGAATAAACAATTATTCCATAATAAAGATTATATCCAAACCAAATCCATGGTTAATAGTATATATCCCAACAATTTACCACTTAGACTTTTAACCATGATAACTATTAGAATATACTATATCTAAATGTATGGTTAATAGTATATGCCCTAACAGTAACAATCTGGTAAGAGGAACTGTTGTTCCAATACTAAGGTGAATTGAGAGACAATTATAACTAACCTGTATGTTGTGTATGTAACTTCGATTCCATAATGGCATAAATACTAGATTAGAGAACCTTAGAACCGCAAGATTTTCGATTGTGTTCCTTCCCAAAAGATGATCTATCCTGGAAGATAGGCAAGTAAAACAGTGATCAGTAAATAATTCAGAATGCAAAGTCTTCTTGTCTCACACATATCACAAAATGCGTTTCGAACCTGTATAATTGCTTTTCCTCAAAGTTTGAAAGAAGTGAGGTAGTTAACTGATGAGAAGAAAACGAACCCAGACCAAAGGGTTTTTCAATTATTACACGATTCCAGCCCCTCTGGGTTTGCGCCTTTTCAGCAAGAGAGGATGCTACATCGATAAGTGCTTCTTCAGGCACAGAAAGGTAAAATATTCTGTTTGCTCCAAACTTTCCCTAAGGTACACGAGCTGTTAAAGACAGGAATAGCAATAACATGGAATTGGACACTGGGAGCACTTACGCACACAAGTAAATCTTTTCAGCTATAATGGACAATCATCAGTAGTACTTACCTCAGCTTCTTCCATGAGAGTATTGAGATTTGACATTCCTTCTCGGTTGTCATACCCTCCATTAAGATAGAATATTCTTTTGAGAAACGCATCCATTTTTTCTTCACAGTTTTCTCTGCATAAAGAACTTTATTGTAACTATATAAAGTTACAATACATCATCTTACGCAAAGATTTTATTTTAAGATATGGAAATGGGGATGATTTTCTGTTGAACAATTTTTATGCTAAAAGATCAAATATAAAAAGATATGCTAATTTCATTATAGAAAACATTTTTTAATCTAACCATTCATAACTCCTTCACTAGCCTTCCAGATGCTCTAGCAAACATATCTTAAATTTTGAAGTGCAAAAGTCTGAATTGTTTTAGTTAAAAACTCAAAATCTAGAAGAGAATCCTTCCGTCCCTCCCTCGTGTGCACTCGCGCTCTGTCTCTGTGTGTGTGCGCGTGCATATTTCTTAAGTTTCAAATGATATAAACAGATAGATATACATGGTAAATATCTAAAACGAAGATACATGTTTATATATGCATTTGGAAGTTGGGGAACATACTGGAGATCAATGCGGCAACTTAAAGTTGGTGCTATTATGGCTCTCAGATCTTCTTCTGTCAAATTTTTCCTCGAGTACCCATATATAACAAATTTCTGCAGCCATCAAAAAGCTGGTAAGCCTAGAAGGTTAACCTTATTTGTATATAACTTTCCAGTGTTATGCTTCCTATGATATATATAAAAATAAAATAAAAACAGATGTAACTAGCAGGATAATTCAAACATTCTAATTCAATCTATTAACTTGATCTTTTTATTCGACTACCTTAGCTTGTTATCCAGAAAGATTCAAATTTCAAGTCCCTCAATTGTTCTTGCTTGAATCTACTTCAAATGATTCTAACAGAACAAGGAATTACCAACCATTATATACTTCCAAGTTAAAGTACCAAGTTCATTTGTTTCATAACTTCATGATGTGGTCAGTTCTCTTCACTTATGGAAGCCCTGACTCCTTGTCAAGCCCCACAATCATTGCACTTGGTGTGGCACACGAGTCCACTCATGCTGCCATGAAGCTTGCTCTAATCCTAACAGTTGTAACTTGCCTCCAAATTACAAGCCCATGTAACAAAGTGGTAGAAACTAAAGCCCAAAAGCTTAAACACACAAAGTGGTAGAAACTAAAGCCTCATACATCTTTCAACTAGTTCAGTTACAAGCACGGCACCACCCCTCCACCTCAAAAGGTTCATCTAGATGTTAATCAAGCTACTATGTTTGATCTCAATAAAAAAATTATACAAGCAGAGCTCAAGCTGTCACAGATATTTCAAACAGTTACTTTCAGAAATTTATAATCTGATACAACCAATTGATGTGACTTGTAAGGTGCAACAATTATTAAGAAATAATTGAGTTAACAGACGATCTAACGAGAAATTATATTTTGCATTGGTAAGAAATATATAATAAAATATGTGCTCTTTTTTTGGTGGTCAGAGAAGCTGTCTTGACTCGGGATAATCTCAGGAAGAGGGGGATGCCACTTTGTTCAAGCTGCTACTTCTATGGACAGGATGCAGAGACAAATGACAATCAATCATCTGCTTTTACACTGCAGGGTTACTAGTCAACTATGAGATTCGTTCATCAATCTCAGAGGCATCAGATGGGCAATGTAGACCTGCTGATGTTTTGATAAGCTGGAACAAAGAAGGAAATTGCAGCAGAAACAAACACGACAACAACAACAACCCAATATAATCCCACAAGTGGGGTCTGGGGAGGGTAGAGTGTACGCAGACCTTACCCCTACCCCAGAGGGGTAGAGAGGCTGTTTCCGAAAGACCGTGGGCTCGAGAAGAAGAAAAATAAACAATAGACAATAGGTCAGTGACAACAATAGAAGATAAAAAAATATTAACAGCATCGTAAGAAGTAGAAAAATAGATGTAAAAGCAATACTATAAACAACAATACTACCATAGAAAATAGTGAGGAAACTACATAAACCACTAACAACCCACNCATCTTGTCGTCAATGGGAGTCACACCCACCTTCTCCCGAATATCTACATTCCTAATCTTATCCAGCCTATTGTGCCCGCACATCCATCTCAACATCCTCATTTCTGCCACTTTCATCTTCTGGGTATGGAAATTCTTGGTTGCCCAACACTCAGCCCCATACAACATGGCCGGTCTAACCATCGCTCTATAGAACTTGCCTTTGAGTTTCGGTGGCACTTTCTTGTCACACAGGACTCCAGATGCTAACCTCCATTTCATCCACCCCACTCCTATACGGTGCGTGACATCCTCGTCTATCTCCCCATCCCCCTGGAAAATTATCCCTGCAAGTATATGGAGGACAGTTTGGATGAATTCAAGATGTTTTGAAGATAAGAGTAGCTCTTTACAGAAAATTAAGATGGATTGTATTCTTCTTTTTAGTTTTTGGTATAAATCTGAATATATAGAGGAACCCGAGGATATCCTAGATGTGTTTAGATTCTTTGCAAGAAGATTAAGGTCTCATTTGGGTTTTTGATTTTTGGTTACCTGTTGTAACACCTTATTTGCACAACCTTTGTGCTGATGTCTATTTAAATGTACATAAAATGTTACCTTCTCAAAAAAAATATGTGCTTTTAGTAGTACGTGGGGTAATATTATATTACTGCTAAATTAATAAGTAGTAAAGGAAATATGAATTTTTATGTCAATGCTATATCGTTTAACAATATATTCAGTAGCTATATATCTGTATGAATCATATCAACAACAACAACAAACCCAGTGTAATCCCACATAGTGGGGACTGGGATATGAATCATACAAAGACAAAAATAAATTTTGAACTAGCATAAACAAGCGGAGCTTTGTTTCTGAACAAGTTGGTTCATTAACAACTCATTTCCTACTCATATGAGGAAAGGGGCAAAAGAAATATGTCTTCTATAAAAATAAGGATCGCTATAACAGATTATTGGGTATAAGTTTCATACTGTATTTATAACCCTCAACCAACCAAGCAAAAACTTAAGACGAAATTATGTTCCACTCGGATCAGATATGAATATTATGGACACTGGACAGAATAGAAATTTCAACAGATACATAGAAGTCAAAAAGGAGCAGAATTGTAGTTAATCCAATGTACCTACCTCTGGAAGATGACCACTGTAATACAAAGCAAATAATGCTGGAAAGATTTTTGTTCTAGCTAGTAAACCGGTGGCCCCAATAACAGCAATGCTAAGAGAGGCTGAATCATAAGTTTCTGCATCAGTACTGGATGATTGAGTCTCAAACAAAGGCAAAGGCAACTTTATGGAAACCTCCATCCCCGAAGCGTCAACTTTAACTTCTTCATCTAGTGAAGTAGTGTTTCGAGTTCCTTCCACATTGAAAGATGTAGACCTTATGGAAGAATGCGGTCTGTTGACATCAGGAGGTTGAACATGTGCCACATAAATCATTCGTGTTCTGGTTTTCTTTATTGTCTGTCCCTTTGAAAGAATGTATATCAGTCTCCAGACAAATATTCGGCATCACAATGGAATTGGCCAGAAAAGATGCATGCAATAAATTCCCCAACTAAACCACACTATTATAGAATGCAGGAAAAGTGAGCTACGAAAAGACAAAGCTAAAAGCATGATTCACCAGATTCTTCTGATTTGAAGATGAAAGAGTTACTAAGAAGTATCAGTCAAACTGAAAATGTTGCCAACAGTTTGGATTCATCTAGTCAACCAGTTCATCCAACTAAACATATTTAAGAATTCAGGAAGAAGAGATACTTCAGTTTGGTGCTGTAGCATGTAGGACATGCATGCTAATACCGCCTCGACACATCTGGGGAACGAATTTATACGTCTTTCTAGTTTTTTACCATTATCTTTTCTGGTGAACACGTCTTGAAAGGAGCTCAGAGGTGATTTAGAAGCGTGACAGCAGAAGAACATGGTTAAAATAACTAACTTATATAATCATTCAGCAACTCAATTAAATACTGATTTTAGCAGATCCAGTTATTGACCTTATGCTTGCGATTTGATAATTTCTTCTTCAATTAGTATAAAATGTGTATATAAAATTTTCACTTAGTGTATTGTGCAAAACATGAAAAATCACATATTTCGTGAAAAGGTTCAATGTTATGTTAAAACTTCCTTCCAACCAAATTTTGCACATTTTATTGGGCATCTACAAAAGCGACCAATCCTAGGTGGTAAAATGGTTGACAGAATCTCAATAACTGGGAAGTTCTGTGCTTATTCATCTGAAAATGAAAATTAATGGCAGAAAACTAAAGATACTAGTACCTAGTAGTTTGTAGATAGAACCACTGATATGAAGTTGAGGAATTATGACATAGCCCCTATACTCACTTGAAACACGCAACCAAATAGATTAGCGATTTCGGAAAAAAAGGGAAGAAAAATAAAAATAAATTCTGGATCATAGCCTACAAGACAACCTACAATGACTCGGGGTATGGTCATGTTTAAAAGTATCCAGAAGTATACTTCGAAGGGTTCACAAATTACCAATACTTATGCTATACTTGTTTGACATGGAAATGTCATGGCATACGAAGAGAAACGTAACATCGATCATCGGTTCAGTATATCATAATCAAGGTACATTTAGATGTCTTCCTTCACATATTTAACCCCAAAAAAAGTTCTTTTTATCAGTGCGTCAGTGGAAACTAAGATCGTTCAAACATAAAAAAATTCTCAGCTAAGACCAAGCAACGAACATATAACATACACACACATACACACGTATATACACATACACATGCACTGTCTCTCTTAAATAAAAGCACATATATACACGTCGCATTCTTCCCCTCTGAATTTTTTAAAAATTTTTTGCATAAACACAATAGCACTCACATTCCAAACTACAATAAATGATTAGTTACTTATTCTCTGTATCGTCCCAATTTTATCGGCTGTCCCCGAAGGAACGATAGTCAACTGTTATATCACTGAAATTATAACATTATTCAGTCTATGAACACCAATTTCCTTGGTGCAGTCTGAAATAACTTACTTTTTCAAGTAAATATCATATACTTCTTCATAAATAGAAAAATTATAAAAGGAGGAAATAGAGAGCACCATATAGCTCAATTTGGTTCGCCAGGAAAAATATAAGAAAATGGATTCAAAGTTTACCGGAAAAGTACGGACAGCTGTTGGTAATACAGCGAGTTTCCGATTAGTTGACGGGAAGATTGAGGTCTCTGATGAAGACGCTGATAGCGATACTGATGAAAGCGACGCCATCACTTTGATTCTTCCGATCAACACATTTCTGTTGTATTTCCCAGTATATATATATATATATATATCGTTGTTTACTATGAAAAATACGTCAACAAAATCTCTCGTGTCTGGGTTTTGACTTTTGGTGATGTTTTGGGCTTGGGTTCTCACATTTTTTGACGGATTCCTCTCTACGCGTTCAATTGCAGCTTAACTTTGGCCCGTCCATTTGATTCTTGATATTGGGCCCGTGGGAAGTTCTTTAAACAAGAAATAACACTGATGGACCTCTTTAAGAGGCTGAATAGCCTAATAAACACTTTTACTTGTCCCGCTTTGTTATTTCGGTCCCAATATTCTACGAATTTTTATCCAGACACTCGTAGTTTTCAAAACACATTACTTTAAACCCCTCTGACCGTTGACCAAGCATATGTGGCAAATTCATGACCGAGTTCGACAAAATACGTGAATTTCACACGTATAACGAGAGTAAACATAAAAAAAATTAGACTAAAAATAATTAAAATAAGAAGAAAAAGTAAAAAGTAAAAGTAAAAGTAAAAGGCAAAAAAATAATATAAGAAAAAATAAAATATCTCTGTTCTTTCTTCTTTTCCCACCCCAACCCCCATTTTTTTTTCTCTTTCTACCCTTCCCCTTTCCTGTTCTTTCGCCACCCCTCCTCCATTTCTCTTTTCTCTTTCTCCCCTTATTCGTTTTCCGTTATTCCCCTCCTCCAATTCTCTTTTCTCTTTCTCCCGTTATCTCGGTCTCCCCATTTTCACAAACCTTCAGTCAATATTTGAGAAAAATATAATAAATTTTTTTTGAAGAGCAACCACCATTAAAATTTTTGAGATGAATTAGATTTATGTCTATTGCCAGTATTGAATCTGGATTGGGTAACAATCATTTCAGGACTAATGGATTCTTAGGTGGTGGAGCGGATATTTAATGGTAGAATTTTATTTAATGAGATAAGCTGAAAATTGAATTTTTTGGGCAGTTTATGGTGAGGTGTTGGTGAAGAGTGATTTTGGAGGGTGAAGAGTGGTTGACGAAGGTCTTTGTGAAATTAGGTGAAGTATACAATGTAAAATTGTGTGAGCATATGGGAATATTGAGGAATTCCAGTGGTAAAAGGAGTTCAAGGTGATTTACATGGTGGATTTGAAATTGTGAGCACCGATGTTTGACAAAAATCTCTGTAAAAGAGATAGACGATGAAAAGTTGGAAAATGGTGGGTTTTAGTTGTCCATCGTAGTGTTGCAGCCGGTAAAGGCGGTAAAATTGTGGTGTTATTTTTGCTCTGTAAAATAGAGATAGGTGGTCAAGGGTGGGGAAGTAGTGGAGTGAAAAAAAGGAAAATAAATAAAATTTTGAAATTAAAGTAAAAAAAGAATGATGTGTCATTAAAAATCTGATGTGGATTATGATGTATCATCCACATCGTGTGTTTGAAGAACACGTGAGGCTGGAGGGGTTTAAAATAATATGTTTTAAAAACTACATGTGTCTGGATGAAATTTCGTAGAGTATCGGGACCGGGATGATAAAACTGGACAAGTAAAAATGTTTATTAGGCTATTCTGCCCTCTTTAAGACCACCGTTTATATTTTAACCTTATTAAAAAAATCTTAGCTTTTTAGCCTTTCATCGAACTTTTTTTTTCCTCCTCCTTCTTCTGCATCTTCTTCTTCCTCCTTTTGCCTCTTCTTGTCCTCCTCCTTTCTTCCTTTCCTTCTTCTTCTTCTAATAAATTATGAGCACACAATTAAAATTAAAAATTAATAAAAGATGTGATGTTGTGGTTAAAATTGAGTGAGTAATGTTATATTGAGCTTATGTTGTCTATATTTAGTGATTTGGATTGGTTTGATGAGAGAAAATTATAAAATACTTTTGAATTTTGTTTGAGCTTGAAAAAAAAAACTTGTCGAAGAAGACAAAGTGGATCGATTGATGTTTGAAGGTTTAAATTGAATCTAACTATTGAAAATTATTGAGATTTGTATTAGAAAATTGTATATCAAATTGGAGTCATTTGGCATTGATAATGGGCTAATTTTGAAGCAAAACATGGTAGTACAACTTTTGCACAATAGTTATGGAAACTGCCAAATTTTTGTGCCTAATTATATATTTGCCATGCTTTTTGCACCACCGCTACGGTAACCATCAAAATTTTGTAGCCAATTGCAAAACAATTGTAGTAACAGTAAGAATTTTATGATTGTAGACATATAAATTTTATTGAAATTAAATCCGTAAAATAATTTGGACTATATTTTATATTCAAGATATATTAGTTCAAATAAACTTATCGGATTAATATAATTGAATTAATTATATAAGTCCAATATATATAGATTAAATAAATAAGTCTTAATACATTGGGCTAGCCCATTTAATTGGGCTAAAGTGATGAGCTCACTTCATTAAGCCTAAGATGCCATCTTCCTAGAGGCCCAGTTTGGTGCCACGTGTCAAATGATATGGCGTGCCAAGTCAACCGGAAGAGCTAAAAAGATCACGCCATGTGTCAAAATGACAAGGCATGTCAAGTCACATTAAAAGGCCAATGAAGTCGCGCCACATGTGCAAGTGACATGTTCTAGCCAATCAAATGCGACTTGTCACACTTCAATCTCATTGGTCAAAAAGAGTTTGTTCTTATCATAACTTTTCCATCCCACAACTATAAATAGGGGTCTTCGTAACTCAGAAAAGACACCAGAAGTTATAACAAGAAGCAAGAGAGAGCTCGTGGATCAAACGCCGTAAATTTCTCTACAAGTTTCAAGCTTCAAGCAATCAACTTCAAGCTCAAGAAATCAAGTTCAAGCTCAAGAACGAAGAACAAGTCAAGATTCAAGGAGTACAAGTTCAAATCAAAGTTCGTACTAGTTGAATTCAAGATCATCGTTCGTGAAAACACATATAGATTCAAGATCAAGCTCAAAGGCCCTTGAATTTATTTACTATTGAAAAGAAGAATCAGAGGATTCATAGAGATTGTACACTCAAATTATTTGAAATCAAATACTATGATTGTTGCAATATTTTCCAGTCTATATTATTTTCCTAACGCAATTTATTGTCTACAAATTCTGGCATGCCTAATGGGACAATAGCTACCTCTCATCTCAACTTTTCAATCATCAAAATTCAAGAATATTGAAATGGCTTCAAAGAAAATCAACTCCAGTTCAACTTCCACCAAGGCTGCTAATTCCAGGTTCTATGCTGATGTGGAAAGTATCCTCGATGTTACCTTTGAAAGCTTTGGACCAATTACGAGGAGCAAAGCAAGCTCGTTAGGACAACAAGCACCCCAAGTGTCATCCGCATCAACCCATGTTTTATTTTCGAATCTTCGTCCTCAAAAGGAGCAAGATCTTCCACAAATGTGCCCAAAGGAGGAAGCGATGTTGCTAAAAAGATCGAGAAAACTCTTGCTCTGCTTGACCTCTCCGGATCCAAGAACTCGGCTATGAAGGAAGATGATGATGCTTCAAGTGATGGATCCTCCCCACTTACACCGCATAGTGTGAGCCATTCGAGAACCAATCTGTGTGACAATCCATGTTACTCCCCATCATCTACAACAATCATTCAAGCCATGGTGACAAACACTTCATATGTAGAAGAGCAGTTGGCAAACTTGACGGAAGCAATCGTTGGCTTAACCAAGTGCATGCAAAATCAAGATGCTAGAATCGACAAGCTAACAGATAGGGTGGGAATCTTGATGGAAGAAGAATCCACCCACGCACCTGGCAAGCTCCCAGAAGTTCCAGAGAGTGATTCTCCCTCAAGACAAGTAGCATCCGCCAAGGCTATCCCTGTCATATCTGAATGGATGATTCCAATCGATCAACTGAAGGAGTTTATTGAAGGAATCATTAAGAACAAGTATGAAGTTGCTGCCAAGTCCTCCCTTACATATGCAAAGTCTTACACTGCAAGGATCGATATGTTGAAGATGCCTGCTAGCTATCAACCTCCAAAGTTTCAATAGTTTGATGGTAAAGGCAATCCAAAGCAACATGTGGCGCACTTCGTTGAGATATGCAACAACGTTGGGACTTATGGAGATTACCTTGTCAAACAGTTTGTCCACTCGCTAAAAGGAAATGCTTTTGATTGGTATACAAACCTCGAGGCGGGATCTATTGATAGTTGGGATCAACTAGAGCAAGAGTTCCTCAATTGCTTTTATGGCATAAGGCGCACTGTGAGCATGGTGGAACTTACAAATACTCGTAAACGGAAGGGTGAACCAGTTATCGACTTTATCAAATATTGGAGGAACGCAAGCCTCAACTGTAAAGACAGGCTTAGTGAAGCTTCTGGCATAGAGATGTGCATCCAAGGCATGCATTGGGGATTGCGCTACATCTTGCAAGGTATCAAGCCTAGCACATTTGAAGAACTTGCAACTCGTGCCCATGACATGGAATTGAGCATGGCCTCTGCTGGAAATGAAAGGCTGCCCATCTATGAACCTCGCAAAGGGAACGACAAGCAAGAAGTTAGAAAATGGAGCAAGTTTGTGCCAAAATCTGAAAATAAAGAAGCTATGAATGTCAACACATCACCTGTAAAGTTCACGACGAAGGTGAGCAAGAAGAAGAGTATGAAATCCACTTCTTTTCAAGATAAGCCAAATGGAAAGTTGACTCTAAAAGAAATACAAGAGAAAGAGTACCCATTTATGGATTCTGATGTGCCAGCTATTTTTGAAGAACTCCTCGAGTTAAATCTCATTGAGCTTCCGGAGATGAAGCGACCAAATGAAGCTGGGAAAATTGATGACCCAAATTACTGCAAATATCATCGACTTGTGAGCCACCCTCTAGAGAAGTGCTTTGTCTTCAAGGACAAAGTTATGGACTTGGCTCGTGAAAGAAGATCGTGCTTGAAGATGAGAAAGCAAGCGCAAACTAAGTCTCTATCACATTTGGCTCATTCAGTCTAGACGAATTATGTAGTTTTAAAGAAAGTAAAGATGAAGAATTACTAGAGAATAACAAAGTTGAAGACGATCAATCTGAGGATGAT